GTTGGCGGGTACTGCCCCCGCGGCAACCGGGCGAGACGGGGATGCTCAGGGAGCCGGGGATGCTCGGGGGTGTTCAGGGAGCCGGGGATGCTCAGGGATGCTCGGGGAGCCAGGGATGCTCTTGGGCAGCGAGGAATGCTCTTGGGCAGCGACATGCCCAGCCGCTCAGCTGATTTTATGTCCCATGCCAGCCAGTGCAAATAAATCAAACTGCACCAACAGATGCCTTTGCACGACCAGAGCTGGCCCCAAAAAGCGCTCCAGGAGCAGAGCCCTGTCTGTGCTGAAGGAGAGCAGAAACCCCACACCGACAGCCTGCCCAGGGCTTGCGCACGAAGTTTTTAGTAGCCTCCCGGGGTAGGGAGATGGTGGGGAGACACCTGAGCAGAGCTTGGTGGTAGCTTCCCTGGGGTTTTCCTCTGAGGGGTTTCCTGAGCCCCAGCACGGCTGGGACATGGACACTTTGTCTTGCAGCAATCTGCTCTCAGCACCCTACGGTGACCAACCCTGGGCACTGCCCCGTGACAAGCTGGGTCATGACAACACCTGAGAAAAGCTTTGATTTAAAAAAAAAACAACCCACCTAAACCCATCATCCAGGGCTTGGAGAAGAGTGGCAGGAGGGGTTTGCAGGTGGGAAACGCTTCCAGCTGGAGCATCCCAGCCCGCCATTCTGTTTGGGGTGGCAAGGCTGACCCCTGGGTCAGCAGGGTCTGGGGGCTGCGGGGAAATGGGCTGGGGAGAGTTAATTCCATCTCGCGGCAGAAATACACGAGGGGCACCACCACTTCCTAAACAATGGGATATACCATCGCCCACTGTCTTTGAAATAAATCAGCCTATAGATGGGGTACGGCCCGACCCCGAGAGCTGGGGGGCAGTGGGGGTGCCATTCCCAGTCCCTCTCCTATAGCTGGGGCAGAGCCAACTCTGTCCTGGCCCCTGTGGCAGGGGTGGGGGAAGAGTGCTGCCTGCCCTCTCCTCCAGCAGCTATAGATGGGGATGTCCCCAGTCCTCTTCCCTATAGCTGGGGCCCAGCCAATGTCTCAGTCCCTATAGCTGGGGAGGGAGGTCCCAGCTCCCTCCCCTATAGTCAAGGAATGCCTATGTCCCAGCCCCTACAGCTTGAGGGGACAGGGGTCTCACCCCTTGTCCTATAGCCTGGGTCTGACTTCGTCCCAGCCCCTATGGGAAGGGCTCCCAGGTCCCCTCTCTATAGTGGGGTCTGGCTGTGTCCCACCTCTTATACCCATAGGGGAGTCTCAGCCCCCTCTGCTATAGATGGGGCACACCTATATTCCTGCCTCTATAGCTGAACGGGGGGGTCACAGGCCCCTCCCCTATAGCAGGGGCACACCTATATGCCAGCCCCTATAGACAGGGGGATCACAGCCCCCTCCCCTATAGCGAGAGCACACTTATACCCCAGTCCCTATAGCTGGGGGGGGTCACAGACCCCTCCCCTATAGTAGGGGCACACATATGCTCCAGGCCCTATAGACAGGGGGATCACAAATCCCCCCCTATAGCCAGAGCACACCTATACCCCAGTCCCTATAGCCGAGAGGGGGTCACAGCCCCCTCCCCTATAGAAGGGGCATACCTATATCCCAGCCCCTACAGACAGGGGTCACAGCCCCCTCCCCTATAGCCAGGGCACACCTATACCCCAGTCCCTATAGCCAAGAGGACATCACAGCCCCCTCCTCTATAGCAGAGCACACCTATACCCCAGTCCCTATAGTCAAGAGGGGGTCCCAGCCCCCTCCCCTATAGCGAGAGCATACCTATACCCCAGTCCCTATAGCCGGGGGGGTCACAGACCCCCTC